TGGGTAGCGACGGATCCGGAACATTCGTTGAATTTCTGTAGGGGGCGGCCTCGGCCTCCTAATGCTCCTTCATACCCAGCCCCAAACCCAGAACACGACGCCCCAGAAAACACCAACACGAACAGCTCGAATTGTTGGCACCTTACCCTCGTAACAACACGCCCCCTAACTATACTCTACTTTGACGGAAGCAGCGCAGCGAAGATGCCTTATGGGTCTATGGATAGTCAGGATATCGTTGCGTGGGGCAAGGTAGAGAAGGAGAGGTATTTTGAAGAGAGGGAGAGGTTGGGGGTGTTGTGTGATTGGGGTCGGGGTGTAGGAGTTGAGGGGTTTGTTAGGATGGAGATGGATTTGTGAGTACGCTTGATTTTTTTGGGAGGTGAGACGAGCTGATGGGTTACGGTGGTAGTGAGATCATGCTATGCGACTTCACAGCCGGCGTACGTGTTGAGAGTATGCTCAACCTCGAGGAGGTCAAAAGGGGTCGAGTTGGGCCTCCTCTTCACACCAACGCAGAAGTACGTATGGATATCGAGGTAAGCCTTCAATTCAACACAATCCTTCACTCCAAGTATTCACTTCATTATAAAACAGGTCATCCGCGCCGGCGCACGACATAACCACTTTCCCGGCGAAACACGCGTCAAACTCGATTACACGAAGTTCATATCGTTCTATGATACGGATCTAGTACCCAGTTTGGTTGGTGTACGTGCCCAGCTGGGTGGTAGACTGGAACATCGGTTGGAAGGGATCTCTGCACGAGATATTGGTGCTGTTATGGGGAGGCTTGAGAGCGCGTTTTCCGGTAGTGGAGGTAGTGGGAGTGGAGTGGATTGGCAAACTCTGATAAAGGTGGTTAAGGATAGGTATGCGGATCGGTTGGAGTTGGTTAGGGATTTAGTCAACCTCAACACAACGAAGATGGCGAGCCGGGATGTACAGGGACAGTTGACGGCGATGGTGGCGCCGTACCTCCTTGCTTCTCAGAATTTTAACGCCACGTACAAGTTGTGTGCGACGACGCATACGAGGTACATACGGGAGACGTTGGCCATGACCCCTTCAGAAAAGCTACTCTTGGGTGCTGTGGAAGGTACGACAAAGGAGATATGTAGAGGTGTGATCAGGATGTGGGGTTGGGGTGTTGACCACGACGATGGAGATGTGAACGAGCTCGTTGGCGCGTGGAAAGAAGAAATTGAAAGATTGATGAATTGGTTGGATTGGAGTGTGTGGTTAAAGTGTCGACCTCAGTGTAATTGGGATGTAAGTGTGCTCACTTTGCTTCTTGGTCGTTGCTTATGTGGCATGCGCAGGAAATGTGTTATCTACCGACTTGGCCGATGTTTCGTTGGGGACCTGGTGGGAGACCTGGGCCACCTGGGAGAGGACCACCGCCGCCTGAGGATGTGGATGAGGATGAGGAGCCGGATTGGATTGATCCACAGCCTGTGTGTAGAAAGATTGTTGGGGATGTAGATTTTTAGATGTACTTGAGAAAAGAGAAGGTTTTAGATGTGTACATAGATGGATGTGTTTGGAGATGTAAGGCAGGAGGTCACTGGCCGACTAGCTCAGTTGGTTAGAGCGTCGTGCTAATATCGTGTAGTCGAATATGAACGCGAAGGTCTTGGGTTCGATCCCCACGTTGGCCAGTGTCTGGGTGTGAAACGATGAATTTTTTTTGGTCGCACCGATACTTTAGTGGGGCTGTGTAGTATCGATGCGCCGTGGAACAAGAAGATCAAAATCATAGCGGGTTGGCGGGCAAGGATCAACATCAAAGAGACGGAACGATAATCAATGATCAGTCCTGAATGTGTCTGCCTAGTGTATGCAATTTGTTTCCAAGAGACAGAGACGGGCGCAAGCAGTGCTAGCAGTGAGATGTGCTGTGCAAGCGCTGAGAAGGCAGTGACGTGACAGACTTGCTATAAACCGCAGTCAAACGTCTTTTGTTGGTAAACCATGAACGTTCCTCCTCCTCCTCCTCCACTAGCAACACCAATTCCACATCGTATTCAATCAGATGTAAGCGTCGTTTCTGTTTAACCGATTTTACGTCTAACAACATGCTGTAGATGGCACATAATTTGGAAAATTTCTCAACTTCTCCGCCTCCACCACCACCTCCAGCCTTTCCACAAGCCAACATCAACTACAACCCAGGTTTTTCACCTCCACCTCCCAGAAACGGCGATTGGAGTCCTTGGGCTGCTCCTCCTCCTTCACAACCACCACAACAGCAGAATCGATCTTACACTGCTTCTCCTCTTCCGGATCCTTACTCTCTCTCACACCAAATGTCTTCTCTATCACTCGCTCCGTCCTCTTCCGGTACAGGTACTGGGAGCTTGACTGCCCCACTCCCAACACCCCAACACCTCCTCACATTCCTCCCAACAATCCATTCCTCGTCTCCAGACACCCAACTCTCATGGATCCGCGATATCCTCTTTTTAATCGACAAATCCGCCTCCATATCTGCTTCTCAAAACGCTCAATATGGGTCAACTCCACCTGATCCACCTACTGGGCCAGTGAATATCTCTGATCCAGACCTTTTAAACCTCTCTTCACACGCTATCCCACTCCTCTTAACAATCTGCAACCAACAACCACCACCGCCCGAGGCTTTGTTCCACCGCGCATGCCTGACGGCGAGCGGCGCCTTCCCATCATACATCAAACCGAACCCGCGTTCTGCTTTCCGTGATTTCGAAGCTGCCGCTCGGGCTGGGTACGCTAGAGCGTGGTATCGTATTGGTAGGGACTATGAGTCCTTTAATGACCTTACACGTGCACGGGAGTGTTTTGAGAGGGGTGTATCGAAGGGAGAGCCGGGGTGTATGTATAGGATGGGTATGGCTTGTTTACTTGGGCAGTTGAATCAACCGGCGAATGTCGATCGGGCGTTGTCGCTTTTGAAGGGTGCGGCGGTGGCTAGTTCGTTGGACGCCCCACAGCCTGCGTATGTGTATGCTCTGCTCCTACTGGGGGAGTTCACGCAGGCTAGTGTACCTCCGCATCTTTTGCCACCGACTGGACAGGCACAGGCGGAGGCGAAACAGCATTTGGAGAGGTCTGCGTACCTACACTTTCCCCCGGCGCAGTATAAACTTGGACATGCGTACGAGTTTGCTGTACCGCCTTGGGAGTTTGATAGTTTGATGAGTGTGGAGTGGTATTCGAGGGCTAGTCAGAATGGGGAGGTGGAGGCGGATATGGCGTTATCCAAGTGGTTCCTGTGCGGTTCGAGCGTTGAAGGTACGTGTGTTTTTCTTCTCTTTCTTGCTGTGTTGCGGTGTTGATAATGGGTGTGGACAGGTAAATCCGCAGAAGAAGGCTTTGAGAAAGACGAATCCCTAGCGAGAATCTTTGCGGAGAAAGCTGCCAAGAGAGGTCTACCGAGTGCAGAGTTTGCGATGGGGTATTATGCAGAGGTTGGTGTGGGGGGCGTTAAGGATTTGGGTGAGGCTAGGGCGTGGTATGAAAAGGTGAGGTGGCGTGTTCTTTTCTTCTTTTTCTGTTTCTTCTTTTTGTTTTATGTTTTATACGGCCTCGGGCAGTTGAAGCCGTGGATGTGCGGGTGTTGTTACGTTTTTCTACTGTCGGTCGAGGTGTTCTTCCGTCTGCCATCTTACATCTTACATCTTGCGTTCCTTGTGCCTTATTCCTCTCACATATACACTTACTAACGAAACACCTCAACAGGCCGCCGCACACGGTAACACAGACGCCGGAGACCGTCTATCCGCTATCGCCCAATCCCAACACCTCACTCGCGCCGAACATGATTCCATCACCGAATCCAAGTTGGTGAGGAGTAGGACGCAGGCGAAAGAGAGGAGTGAGGCGCAGAGGATTAGGGATGGGTATTTGGCAAAGTACGTTTGGTTTCTTTTTCTCTTCTTCTTCTCTCTTTTTTTTTGGGGGGGGCTGATGAAACGCAAAAGCAGACAAGGTCCAGCACCGCCTGGATACCCCCAACCAACACCACCTCAAGCAGGGTACCCACAAGCGCCGTACCCGCCCCAGCAGCAACAGCAGCAGCAGTATCCATCGAGAAGGGATAGTAAACAGGTTGTGGATCTTATACGTAAAAACACTTTACAACAACAACAACAGCGGCCGCCGCCTCAGCAAGGACATGGAAGGTATCCTACCGAACCACCACAACAACAACGACCGCCACCGCAGATTCAAGCACCGCCGCCGCAGATTCAAGTCCCGCCCCAACAATCGCCGCCACCGCCACCACAAATCCAACAACCGTACAACGGCCCAGGCGTTGGTCCTCGCCCACATCTCCAAACACAACAAAGTTTCCCGAACGCCAATCGGTATACGCTCACTGACCCAGGGTCAGGCTCAGCTGGGTCTCCTTCTTTGGGTTCCGGGCGGACGACGTCTCCACATCCACACCCAGGTAGACGAGTCACCTCTGATTCTGGTCCTGCTTTGGGTCCAGGAGGTGCAGGAGGAATGACACCACCAAGTAGCCGCCCAACATCTAGCGCTGGTAGTGGACCGAAGAAACCAGGTCCACAGACGTTTGCGGAGATGGGCTTTCAGGGTGCGAAAGCGGAGGATAAGGATTGTGTTGTTATGTAGGCGAGGTGTTTTTGTGTGTTTGGGAGGTGTGTTTTTGGGGTGTTTTTGGTGTGTGTTGGGAAGGAAGGAATGGAATAGACTCGAGACCAGCCGCTCCTTGGTAGGTGATGTCGCGAGCTGCGCACAGTACTTTGATCGACTGTCATCAAAGTATCGCAGCGTCTGGTTTCGAGACTAGGAATGGAAGACAATGCACTCGGACTTGAACTCGAACTTGGACTTTACGCTCAACTTCAACCCTTATGATACCTTTTGCTACGTCTAAGACTTGCATAGAATAAGAAACACTGAAGCTCAAGTTTTTTTTGTACATACACACACACAAATGAAGTCGGAACGTAGTCAAGCAAGAAACAAAACAGTCAACCGAAAAAGGACTATGGCCAACGTGGGGATCGAACCCAAGACCTTCGCGTTAACATTACTATTTCGGAAAGCACAGATATTAGCACGACGCTCTAACCAACTGAGCTAGTCGGCCGTTGGCAGTGCTCTTCTGTGTTGTGTCTTGGGGTGGTCGTGGAGGTAGATGCTGGAATTGGGAAGCCAAAGCAAACTATCGCGAAACGAGATAAAAAGTTGAGGTGGTCAATGCCCGCATCACTGGCCAACGTGGGGATCGAACCCAAGACCTTCGCGTTAATATGAAGCGGTTGAGAACCTATTATATTAGCACGACGCTCTAACCAACTGAGCTAGTCGGCCAGTGATGAAGTCGTCTCTTTTATCGGATTACACATGTATGTCAACAGCGGATACGGTACAGGTATCACATCTGCAATTCGAATCAGCCTCACCCACTCCCAAGAATGCGTACAAACACAAAGAGACTCACCAACCAAGCCCAAACCCTCTCTACCGCATTCCTCGGCGGTGGTTCTTCATAGCTACACCCCATTTCCATTTCAGCTCAATCAACCAAAGAAGGCAGAGGACTCAGGACATACCTATCCCTAACAACCTCCTCAACACCACTAACAAAATCCATCTCCTCCACTCTCACGAAACGCGTCTTGCGGTATACTTTACACCCAATAAACATAATCGGAAACAATGCCACAGGGAGGTAATTCGTGATGAATGTATCGGTTTCCCAGTTATCTGTTAAAAAGACTTTCCAGCCGCTGAACTGTTTTCGCCGCTGTGAGTATGGCGTAAAGAATTCAAGGCAGGTAATGGAGAGCTTACGATGCAGATAACGACACACCCAACACAAGCATACCACCCCGCATACGGCTGTAAATTCGACTTGAAAGGCAATTTTTGGCGATCGAAACCTTGAGCACGCATTCCGGCGTAGAAACGGAGGTAGGTGATGCTTATACCGAGCCAGGTGAGTAGACCGGCCATCGCTATCGTCGCGTGTCATTAGCCGCGCGGTAAAAAGAAGACAAGACACAGGGCACTAACCAGTCATAGCCTGAAACCAATGAAAAACTGTACCTGCACCGCTAGAGACAGCCATGTACGCTAAACCGGAGAATAAGGAACAGGTGACGATGGAGACCCAGGGAAGACCGCGAGAGGTTGTACGGAGGAAGATGGAAGGAGCATTGCCTGAGACTGCGAGGCCATCTATAGGCTTCGGTGAGTATTGGACGATAAGGAAAGAAAGGAAGGAAGGAGAGGCATACAAAGCGCCCTAGAAGCTGTGTATAAATCACTCGAGGCAGCGGACCACGCGGAGGAAAGCAGAGCTGCATTTATCACCTATCCAGATATCAGTATGACTTGAATTGAGCTTGATAAAGAAAGAATACACACCGAAGGCAAACCCCCAATCCCAGCATTTTGAATAGCAATCACAAACGGCGAAGCACCTGCCGTCTTACCCAGGTTTAACCTGGGCTCGTTGGAAGGAACGAGTAGCCCAATGATGAACGTCCCGCCGATGTAAAAGAGGAGAATGCGAATGTATACGCGTTTGATTGCGCGTGGGATGTTGCGTCTACAATCAGTGAAGTTAGGCGACGATCTGGAGACTAGACGGGCGGTTCTTCGGCTCACCGGGGATTCTTGGTCTCACCAGCGGCGATCTGTCAAAGGTGTTGAGACTGGGAATGATTATAAGAAAGAGAGAAAGACGTACGCTGACGATTTCCGTCCCGATGAACGAAAATACAGCTTGTGTCATTACTGCCCACCATCCAAGGAACCTTCCTTTAGCCCCAGGGATTTCGTTGAATTGAACAAAGGGGCCAGGATCGAGCCAGTACCGGAAGCCTATGCGGTCATGATTGGGACCACCTGTTGTGATTTTAGCGGTGAGAATAGTGAAGGTCATTGGAACACGAACCTCCAAGATCAAGGACGATACCGAGAATTATTAATCCAACGATGGTTATAACCTTGATCGATCTAGAGCTTCTCTTCAGCCGACGTAGCAGCCACTCGAGTAATGCACTAACGCGAAAATGAACTCTGCCTCTCCGTAAGCGCCTTCAACAGTTCAATCAGTACTTGTCTTCACCAGGAAAGGGTGCGCATACCTGCACCAAGCAAATTTATCCCAACTACCACAATCAAACATATTGAAATCCACAATGGATTCAGCTTATCGCTTTTTGTCCAGTATTCGATAAGGATAGCTGCAGCGCTGAGTTCGGCAGGTAACGATATGATCCAGTTGTAGCTATTAGTATTCCGTGTCAGTCTGGCGGGTAGGAGTGGGGTAAGGCGGGATGTACGTACCAATAGTTCCATCCCATAGCGAAGCTGAGTGCTAAATATATCGTAAATCGGTGTGGCAGGCTGAGAAATCAATGGTATTGTACGCACCAGGGTCGAAGAATCGTTCGGATAGTTTTATATGCCCACCTGGGATTGGTAGATAGGAGACCATTTCACCGAGAGAGATCTGTCAACAGTCAGTCGGTCAGTAGTTCATTTTTGCGTACAAGTCGGGATGGGATCCGTACCATGACGCTCCAGCATATAGATCCGACAATGATGTACCCCAGAAGAAGACCTGGTATGGTGTGAATGCGGGCGTTGTATTGGGAACAGTGTTTGCACTCACCAACAGGACCACCGTTGCGAAGAGCGGTTGCTGTTCCCAAGAAGAGACCGGTTCCGATAACACCTGGTAGATGATTCAACGATAGGTCCAGGATGGATAGTTTCAATGAACAGACCTCCAATACTGAAATCGATGCATGAGGCAAAACACGCAACACCAACGCGAAAGAAACACACCTAATCATAGCGACATGCCGATTCTTGAGCTCCCTTGCGAGCTTTCCGTGGTGCATCTCCCTCAGTGACGGAGGCGAAGGCGAAAGCTCCAAATCATGGTGCTGGTCCTCGATTTTAATATCCTTTTCTTGCATTCTGGTGTCAGAGGAGATGGGGGGTGAAGATAAAGAAAGGAACCAGTCTCACAGGATAGCCTACCCATTAAATAAGTCCCGATAAGAAGCATAAAAACATGAGTGAAGTTACGAGAAATAGCTTGAAAGGCAGATGGACCTGGTTCGCCCGATATAATCTCCTTTATCATGGGTACCTTTGCGCTCCCGTTGAATGCGTCAAGATGTCAAGCAAGAGTGCTCCAAATACCCTGTCCTTTGATGTACTTGTGGTTCCTTGCCGTCTACACATCGGATAAAGAAGATCAACGCCGCACAATTACGTCTGGGAATTGAACTTTAAATCTTGAGGATATGTTGAAAAAATAAAGAAGTTCAATGTGGTCGAGAAGGAGGAGGACCGGTTTGAAGACGGAAAAGAATTGGCAAGATGTCGAGGATAGAATGTGTATTGAAATTTGAAGACAAACAGTATACTTGATTTTCGCTTCTGTTTATCCGGACACAGAATGGCTCTAGATATCGTACAATGAGCTACTACTAAAGGAGTGTCAACAGAGCTGGAGATAGAAGAGGTTTCACTCACGGATATAGTCAAAGTCGACCCAAAGTTCGAATGTCAGGTACTGGCATTTTGATAGCATAGCTCCGATTTATCCAAGCTCTAGCCCCCAAGGTTCCTCGCTGTTGGACGTCTTCATATTTAGGAAAGCATGTCGGCTGAAATGCGTTGCGATGAGAAAGAGCGGTGCTTTGGAGGTGCTTTGGTTGAACTTGCGAAACAGGAAGGGTATCGACCGAAACGATGCTCCGAACTCAAACCCCGGAGGTAAGAAGGAAATATGGCGATTCGTTTCGGACCTTCAGGCGTCACGTAGCGTGTATGCTAAAACGGCTCGATAGAGATGGTGACAGTGCTGGAGAGAGGTGCGTTTAACGGGCGCCTATTGGACACCTCTCGAGTTCCACGAAACTCATTTGCCAAAATAGCCCCATGCAAGTCTAGCTTCTGAACAGACGAAGAAATAGTCGTATTCCACAACTAAAGGATACTGTCATGTAAACACTACTATACTTCGTCTATTTATTACAGTGACAGAGTCGCGCTCTGCCAATCGCCTCATCTTTATTTACATCTACGCCGAGAGTCATAACTGAACAAATAGCGCATAAATAGAATAGTATCAACTCACCAGCCACGCCCAAAACCTTTCTATCTTGTTTCTTGGCGGTGGTTCTTCCCAGCTACTACCAATCAATTCAAGTCTCGAGAGACAACGGAAGAAAGACATTACCAGTCCTTCTCGATCTCCTCCACCCTGCTAATGAGATCCATCTCGCTTGCTCTCACAAAACGCGTCTTGCGCCACAGTTTACACCCCACGAACAGAATGGGGTAGCATGCGACAGGAAGATAGTTGGTTATGAAAGTACCTGTATCCCATTGATCCTTTAGGAAAACTTTCCAGCCGCTGAGCTTAGTAAGAACTTCAGGAAGAAGCAATCAGGAGCAAGGATGACAGAACTCACAAAAGCCATGAGCAGACACCCTATACACGCGTACCACGCCGCGTATGGTTGAAAACTGAATCTATATGGGAGCTTTGACCTGTCAAATCCCTGCGCGACCATTCCTGCATGAAATCGGATGTACGTAATGCTTATACCGAACCAGTTCAATAGACCGCCAATGGCTGTCGCCAAACGACGTCAGTCATTGTCAAAGAAAGCAACATGAAGGAACTTACCTGTTAGTGCCTGGAGCCATCCAAAGACCGTCCCAGCACCATTTGACACAACCATGAACGCCAGTCCGCAGAACATCGAACAAACTACGACGGAGACCAGTGGAAGACCTTTTGAAGTCGTGCGTAAGAAGACAGAAGGCGCATTCCCGGTAGCTGCGAGGCCGTCTACAAATAAGTCACGGTGTGTTAGTCGAGAAGATCTAGGAAGAGAAAGAGAAGACGTACATAGTGCCCTAGAAGCTGTATACAGACCACTCGATGCGGCAGACCAAGCGGAAGTTATCAGTGCAGCATTGATCACCTAGCGCGGGCAGATATAGCTATATCATCTTCTCCGAGACATGCGACGTACAGAAGGCAGTCCTCGAATACCAGCGTTTTGGATAGCAATTACAAAAGGTGAAGCCCCGGTGTCCCCGAGGTTCAATTTAGGCTCATTCGATGGAACGAGCAGCCCAATGACAAATGTTCCTCCAATGTAGAACAGGAGTATGCGAATGTATACGCGTTTGATTGCTCGTGGAACATTTCGTCTGTAGCATGGTTGTTAGTAAATTCAACGTAAATAATGTAGAGTGACACTTACCGAGGATTCTTGGTTTCGCCAGCCGCAATCTGTAAAGGCTTTTACTACAACTTTGAAAGGCTT